AAAAATGCAGGAACCTTGCGGCTTGTCATGTCCGCTGGGTAGGCCAGTGTCAGCCTTCAATTATACGGATTAGATAAGTGGCAGCTGTCTGGGCGCTCATAGGCCTGCCCAGAATATCTGAACAAGGGGCCTCTGTAAACCGAGGCACTGACAGAATGTACATGCCAGCAGCTTCGTATCCTTCTCATTAGAGCAGGCCTCCGCCATCGCTGTCACATACAGTAAATCAAGAGATTTATAGAGGCCGTAAATACATAGTCATCAACAGATATTATTTACTCAGTTCAAAAAATATAACGCTCATCCATTAAGCCATTAACAGATGTGATGATTTAGGGGGGAAAAGGTAATGAAATATTGGTGATACACTTTCCCAATGTATTATAATACTGCTGGTGATCATTTACTATTTACTGCCATGAGCTGGTCCTAGGTAGTGCTGACATGGCTTCTGTGAAATCGCCGTTCAGTAGCGTGTTCATATGTGGTTGCTCCGATTCTGTGTGACACAAACTGTCTCCTCTTTTTATACACCTCTTCTTGAATACCTTTGCCTTTTGTTGTGGCACCCTGATGGCTCAGTTTCGGTGGTGCAGTGTCTTTGTTGAATAGTTTGTCTTAAAGTCCTGATTTTGTTTCATGCCAGTCAATCTCCCTTACTGCAGTGTGGGATATTTTGAATAGGTCTTACCTTTAGGGAAAATGGCTCCCTGCTAGTTTTAAGGAAAATTTTTAAATAAGAACCATTTGTTTTGGGAGAGTGAGGTTCTAGAAAGAAAAGTCACCTGTCGGAAAGAAAATTACTGAAGCCCGAAGGAGCTTTTGAAGTGCTGAAGTCAAACTGAGTATCCAAGCATAGAATTTCGTGGAACATTTATTGGACACATCTGACTCCTCAACACCGTATGTGCGAGCCTGTTCAGACAGGTGGGCAGTTCGTGGAAGCAGTCTGGGCGAAGTGCCTTGCTCAAGGGTCTCACAGCAGCCACCTCCAGAGGTTAAACTCTCCATGCACAAGTCTTCCCACTGTTCTCAGTGCAGGAATGCAGATTTCAAAAGCAAAGTTAGCGAGTGCAGGTTGGATAAAGTCTATCCAGACAAAAATCAATTTCGTCTCATATCTCAAAGAAAGTCCCACCCAATATTTTGGACTTTTTTTCTATAAATGGTTACAAACATTTTCTTTATTATTATCTGGGACCAGGAGAATATTACCACCTTTACACTCTTTTTGTTTTGTCTCAGCTTCCTATGGCCAGGAGCTGTGGGAGCTCAGACAGCGAGGGCGTCTAGCTCCTGACTGGAAGGTCCCGGGTTCAATCCCAGGCAGGGGCAAACGACAGAGCTCTAATTCCTTCCAGATGGCTCCCACGTCCACTCAACCTGCTTTCCAAATGAGCACCGGGGGTTAATCCTTCTGGGGGGGGGGGGTAATAGGCCGACGGAGCATGGCGCTGACCACATCACCTCCACCTCCAGTGTCGGATGGTCAAGTAAAATGTAGCCCCTTGCCCCTCCCCATTCCCCATGGGCCTTTGTGGCCTGAAAGGGAGACCTAACATACCTACCTTAATATGGCCAGTTCATACTGCGTCTTACCCCAGTGTCTGAGTCATGGCCAGAGGAGATGAGGAGATGAGCGCAGTCTGCAGGAGTCTCAGAGGAATTGTGGTTCTCGCTGGTGGGGCGTGGAGGAGGAGCTGAGGTGGCAGAGCGACGCCACTCATTCCTGGCTGAGTTCACTGTCTTAAATTCCAGGGGTGAGACATCAGTGTCAGCCCTCTGAATGTCCCTCTCTGGCAGAATATATTGTTCTAGGATGGTATGGTACTGATTCGAGGACTTCAGCTCACTTTTGATGTGGCTCAAATGCACATTAAAGCCACTTAAAATTGATTTAACATGCCAACATCGCTTGGCGGGTGATCTGTTTTTGACCAGTTTTTATCCAGCCGCTGTTTCGCCCTGCAACTCACAGCTGGCAGCCCCACTGAAGCTCAGCAGGCGTGAGTCTGTGCAGCACCTGGATAGGAGACCTGCTGCAAAGGCTACATTTGTTCCTAGAAGCAGTGCTAGCGGGGGCAGTAGGGGACCACTTGTGCTTACCCTGCATAAGTGGTCCTTATGATCCAGTATAGTGACGGAGACACTATACTGTAAAAAAGGCGCTATCCTTTGGATGAGACGTAAAACTGAGCTCCTGTCTCTCCGCTGTCTTAAAAATCCCAGGGCGTTTCTCGAAAAGAGTAGGGGTGTTACACCGGTCTCCTGGCCAAATTTCCCCCTGGCCTTTACAAATCATGGCCTCCTAATAACCCCATCTGTGAACTGGCTTCATCACTCTGCATCACAAGAGGCAGGCCTAGAAAGAGATGGATAGATTGTGTGAGAAAAGATATGGAGGTATGTGAAGTGAGTGAGGAAGATGTGCTCGACAGAGACAAATGGAGAAGAGCAACCAAAGCAGCTGACCCCAGGACAGTCTGGGACTAAGGCTGTGAAAAAGAAGAAGAAGAAGAAGAAGAAGTGTAAAGGTTTAGTGGAGAAAGCATGTCTCTGAAGGAATAAACAAAAGCTAATGAATGACCAGTACTGGCACGTGTCTGTCTTTTGGTTTCACACAGAACTTAGCAAAAACCATTTCCGCAACGAATTAGGTGAAAGGTAATCAGAACATAATATTTGGCAAAGGAAGGAGCCCTTGTGACATTTTTGTTCTATGTAATCTTGATTAAGCTTTGGCTTTTCAAAGTAGAACTACTGGAAGACTTTAAGGTCTGAAACCTGTCAGTACAGATTATGGTGAGTTGGTCTCCAGATATCTACTGGACCAAGGTCTCAGGTACGTGTAATCAGCAGGGCTCTCATACTGTACATCTGTAAATGTCATTGGTAAATATTATTTAAAACATGTTAATGCGTATATTTAAAAATACCCGTTTTTGATAATTATACATAATGTATTTACATTTAGAAATATAGTTAAGAAATATGCTGAGGTATACTGTATGTTAATGCTGGTCTATAAAACGGAACTTTAATGGAACTAAATATATCTTAAATATACATATATCACGTACTGGCTATTTTTCCAGTATTCCGCAATGTATTTAATTTCCTTACGGGATTTTTTCGCGTTATCTCCAACCTTTTTAACGTTATAGACGGTTATTTGTTTACACCAGCCTGTGATGAGTTTATTACATTAGTTTCTAAAGCCAGTCGAAGCTCTGGTTAAAAATTAACGATCAAGGCTTTGCCGGAGACTGCGATCAAAAGTAAAGTGTTAACGGTACTGGATCGGAGAAAATGTTCCACTCGGAGAGGCTGTAGTTCTGATCAGGTTCAGTGCTAGCAAAAATGCAACCGACGTGCTTCTAAGCTGTAGTGTCGCCAATTGGTTTGGCTGGCAGCAACATAAAACCCATAGAAAACACAGATGAGGACCATAAACTGTATAATTAAATTTTGAAAATGATTTTAAAACGGTAGTACTTTTTTCCCCCGAAGAAACCAGTTTTACATCCTCCGGAAGTTAAAAAACAACTGAATTTCCAGTGTTTCTAGTCTTCTGTTTGCGTGTTGTACGTGGTTACGAG